ACACACCACACCTGGCTAGTTTTTGTGTTTTTTGTAGAAACCAAAAAAAGCAATCAGTTTGCTTCAGCCTCCCCACCTGCTGGGATTACAGGCATCAGCCACCATACCTGGCCTGTTGTTGATTTTTAAGAATTCTTTGTATATGTTGGATACAAGTTCTTTATTAGATAGGTGTTTTACAAATATTTTCTTCCTATCTGTGACTTGTCTCTTCGTTACTTTAATACTACGTTTTACAGAGCATACGTTTTTAATTTTAATAAAGTCCAGCTTGCTGATTTTTTTCTTTTCATGGATTATGTTTTTGGTGTTGTATCTAAAAGATTATCAACAAACCCAGGTCACCTAGATTTTCATCTGTGTTCTGTTCTAAAAGTTTTACAGTTTTTGCACTTTACATGTAGGTCTGTTATTGGAGTTAATTTTTGTGTAAGATGTAAGATCTGTGTCTAGATTCATTTTTTTCATGTGGACGTCCAGTTGTCCCAGCACCATTTTTGGAAAAACCTGTTCTTTCTCCATTACATTTCCTTTATTCCTCTGTCACAGATCAAACTGACTATATTTGTGAGGAGCAATTTCTTGTCTTTCTGCTCGGGGCCACTGATCTATTTGTCCATTCTTTCTCGAGGACCACACAGTCACCCAGTCTTTTTACAGTAGCTTTCGAGTAGCTCTTAAGGTGGGTAGTCTCAGCCCTCCAGATTTGCTCTCTTTAATGTTATGTTGGATATTCTGAGTGTTTTCCTTCTCCATATTAACTTCAGAGTCATTTCGTTGATAACCATGAAATAATTTGCTGGGATTTTGATTGGGGCTGCATCGAATCTGTAGGTCAAGTTGTAAAGAACTGTTGTTTTAGCAGTGTTGTCTTCCTGTCCATGAATGTGGAATATCTCTTGATTTTTTTCAGTTCTGTGAATTTTTTCATCAGAGTTTTGTAGTTTTCTTCCTACAGCTCTTGTGCTTATTTTGTCCATTTTATACCTAGGGTATTTCACTTATTTATATGGGAAATGATAGTGTGTTTTTAATTTCAAATTCCCATCTTTTATTGGTAGTATCTAGGAAGCCAGTTGACTTTTGCATATTGATCTCGTATCCTGTGACTTTTAAACTCTTACTAGTTTAGAAGTTTTTTTGTTCTTTGAGATTTTTCTTCATAATTATGTCATTGCAAGCAAATAGTTTTATTTCCTTCTTCCCACTCTGTGTACCTTTGGTTTTCTTTTCTTGTCATTGCATTAGCTCGAACTTCCAGTACAATGTTCAGTGGAAGAGATGAGAGGGAACATTGTTGCTTTATTCATGATCTTAGGGGGAAATCACTGAGTTTCTCACTCTTAAGTATGTTGTTAGCTGCAGTTGTTTTATAATGTCCTTTATTAAGTTGAAGAAGTTTCCCTCTATTCCTTGTTTGCTGAGAGTTTTTATCATGAGCTGGTGCTGGATTTTGTTAAATGCTTTTCTACATCTATGGATAAGATTTTTGTTCTTTAGCCTGTTTGATGTAGTAGATTATGTTAACTGATTTTGGAATGTTAGATCACCCTTGCATACCTGGAATAAATTCTGTCTGGTCATGGTTTATAATTCTTTTTATACATTGTTGGATTTGGTTGCTAATTTTTTGTTGACTTCAGTTCTCTTCGATTCAGTTTGCTAATTTTGTTGAAGATTTTTGCATTTATGTTCATGAGACATATTGGTCTATATATTTTTTTTCTTGTAACGTCTTTGGTTTTGGTATTAGGGTAATGCCAGCCTCATATAAGAAGTTAGAAAGTATTCCTCTGCTTCTGTTTTCGGGAGGAGATTGTGGAGAACTTATATCATTTCTTCCATAAATGTTTGGTGGAATTCACAGTGAAACCATCTGGGTCTGGGGCTTGCTTTTTTGGAAAGGTTTTTCTTTTTCTATCTAAGTTACCAAATGTGTGGACATAGAGCTGTTCATAATATTCCTTTATTATTCTTTTACTGTCCGTAGGATCCACAGTAATAATCCTTCACTTCTAGTACTAGTTGTTTATGTCTTCTCTTTTTTTGACTGGCCTGGGGAGAGGCTTATTGGTCTTGTCAGAGTTTTATTGGTCTTGTCAAAGAATATGTTTTTGGTTTGGTTGATTTTGTCTATTGATTTCCTGTTTTCAGTTTCACTGATTTCTGCTCTAATTTTTATTATTATATTTTTATTTTTATTATTTTATTCTCTACTGCTTACTTTAGGCTTATATTGCTCTTTCTTTCCTTCTAGTTTTCAAAGGTGGAAGCTGGTTTCAGATCTTTCTTTTCTAGTATATGCATTTAATGCTAAAAAGCTTCCTCTCAGCACTGCTTTTGCTGCATCCCACAAATTTTGATGTTGTATTTTTATTTTCACTTTGTTCAAAATATTTTCACATGTGCTTTTACATCCAGAAGCACCCCCATGTCCATGGGCAGTTGTCAGGGTAGGGGGCAGCTAACTTTCTGCCACCGTCTCAGGTGAAGTGGCAGGAGTCACACAGCCTGTTTTCTCACCATCTACCAAACTGTATTCCAGATCGGAGTATTAACAGCTAGTCTATAAATTGAGATTGGAGTATTAACAGCCAGTCTGTAAATTGAGATCGGAGTATTAACAGTCTATAAATTGAGATCGGAGTATTAACAGCCAGTCTGTAAATTGAGATCGGAGTATTAACAGCTGGTCTGTACATTGAGATCGGAGTATTAACAGCTAGTCTGTAAATTGAGATCGGAGTATTAACAGCTAGTCTGTACATTGAGATCGGAGTATTAACAGCTAGTCTATAAATTGAGATTGGGGTATTAACAGCCAGTCTGTAAATTGAGATCGGAGTATTAACAGTCTATAAATTGAGATCGGAGTATTAACAGCTAGTCTGTACATTGAGATCGGAGTATTAACAGCTAGTCTGTAAATTGAGATCGGAGTATTAACAGCTAGTCTGTACATTGAGATCGGAGTATTAACAGTCTATAAATTGAGATCGGAGTATTAACAGCCAGTCTGTAAATTGAGATCGAGTATTAACAGTCTATAAATTGAGATCGGAGTATTAACAGCCAGTCTGTAAATTGAGAGCGGAGTATTAACATCTAGTCCCAAGTTGAGTTTGAGAACTTCCAGTAGGGGTTTGTTTCTGTGCTTACCTTATAGAGCTTGAAGGGTTCTTGAGATACTCTCTCCCTTGAGGTAAGTGATCAGCCACATAGGAGTGATTCTGGCCCCTTCTCTACTTGAGACAGAAGGATGGAAGTGACACGGCTTACATATAACTTACCATGTTGGGCCGGTTCCACAGTGATGTGACTTACATATGACTTGCATTGCAGGCCAGTCCCCTGCGTCATTATACTGATGGTCTAGAAATGTTTATTTCTGGGAAACCGAAGTGACTCAGGTTGTAACTTAAGCTCAGCCAGACATTCTCTTGAGATACAGAAATTATTTAGTGGCATCAAAAAAGAAAGTTTAAACATTTTAATTTCAATAATTGTTATCTTTCTTTTCTCCAGCTTATCATCACAGTAAAACTATTTTCCATAGTGTTCCTTAATTTTCATTGTCTTCTTTTTGGACCTTTCTTATTAAAGACCATAACCATAAAGCTCATTTCAGTGTGGTCGTGGCCCATTCTCAGTAATGGTTAAGGAATAGACAGATGGATACACTGAGGCACAGAGATGTGCAAAATATGTTAAGTGGCTTGCAGAAGTCACACGCGTGTTTCCTCACCATCTTTCAGACTATATTCCAGATCCGAATATTCATCACTTAGGCCTATTTTGAAAAGCACTTTGCTGAATACGTGGGATTACCCTCTGCTGGCATTTCTCTGTTCTTTATCTCATTTATAATCAATGCATGCTATTTGATTTTTTGCTGATTGTTATCTACTTAGTATATATACTACAGATCAAATTCCAAATCCTATTAGAAGAGAACGCAATATTAACAATAAGTTTACCTTACCCTGAGAGATGATGCAGCCACATGTGATATGATATAAAGGTGGTTTCTCTTGGGCTTCTTCCTCTTAGCACACTCGTAACCAGACAGCTCCGAGTGATAGATTTTTCAAGTCCAGCTCCCTTGCCTCCTGTTGGGACAGCTCAGAGGCAGAGCGCAGGCTCCAGGGCCACGTGGAATCCAGTGGGAGGCCCATTCCCAGGGCCCAGGCCTGAGATGCACCTGTGCTCAGTTTCCCTCCCCACTGGCCAGAACCACTGGCTGGCTTACAGCTTCTCCCTTCAGGGTCTCCTTCTGGGGAACCCAACCTAAGCAACCTTCATTC